AATTCGTAAACGTCCGAAAAATATAAAAATCAAGAAAAAGACATAAAAACGCCTCAAATAATTCCTGAATCGCACTTGTCACCTTAGAATATCGATACGAATAAAACATTAAAATTTCACATTTTTTCTTGACTGCCCGGAAAATATCAAAAATTTTAATTAGCAAACGTCCAAAAAATACAAAAGTCAGGAATAATAGTGAAAAACACCTCAAAAAATTTCTGAATCGCACCAGTCACCTTAGAATATCGATATGAACGAAATATTAAAATTTCACAAATTTTCGTGACTGGGTATATCAAAAATTTGATTCATAAACGACCAAAAAATATAAAAATCACGAAAAAGACATAAAAATACCTCAAAAATTACCAAATTGCACCAGTCATCTTAGAATATCGATACAATTAAAATATCAAAATTTCACATTTTTCGTGACGGCCCAAAAAATATCAAAATCATGAAAAAGAAATAAAAACACCTCAAAAAATTCCCGATTCGCACCAGTCACCTTAGAATATTGATATGAAAAAAATATCAAAATTTCAAATTTTTTCGTGACTACTCGAAAAACATTAAAAATTTTAATTCGTAAACGTTCAAAATATATAAAAATCAAGAAAAATAAATAAAAATACCTCAAAAAATTTCCGAATCGGACCTGTCACCTTTGAATAACGATACGAAAAGATATCAAAATTTCACATCTTTTCGTAGCTGTCCTAAAAATATCAAAAAATTTAATTCGTAAACGTCAGTAAAATATAAAATCAAAAAAGAGACATAAAAACACCTCAAAAAGTTCCCAAATCTCAATCTGTCACCTTAGAATATAGATACGAATAAAATTTCAAAATTTCACACTTTTGATTTTCTCGTGAATGCCGACAAATATCAAAAAATTTAATTCGTAAACGTCCGAAAATTATAAAAATCAAAATAAATAAATAAAAGCACCTCAACAAATTTCCTAATTGCACCTGTTACCTTAGAATATCGATATAAATAAAATAACAAAATTTTATCTTTTTTTTTGTTAATGCCTGAAAAATAAAAAAAATTAACTCGTAAACGTACCGAAAAATGTTAAAATAAAGAAAAAGACAATAAAAACTCCTACAAAAAATTCCCAAATCACACTTGTCACCTTAGAATATCGATAAAAATATCAATAAATTTAATTCATCAACGTCTAAATATATAAAAATCAATAAAAAGACATAAAAACAGATCAAAAAATTCTCGAATCGCACATCTTCACCCTAGAATATAAATACCAATAAAATATCAAAATTTGACATTTTTTCGTGATTGCTTGAAAAATAATAAATTTAAATTCGTAACCGTCCGAAAAATATATATAAATCAAGAAAAAGACTTAAAAACACCTCAAAAAGTTTCCGAATCGAAACCTGTCACCTTAGAATATCGATACGAATAAAATATCAAAATTTCACACTTTTCGTGGCTGCCCGAAAAATATCAAAAAATTTAATTGGTAAACTTCCAAAATATATAAATATCAAGAAAAAGACATAAAAGCACCTCAATAAATTTCCTAATTGCCCTTGTTAACTTAGAATATCGATATGAATAAAATATCAAATTTTTACTTTTTCTTCTAACTGCCTGAAAAATAAAAAAAATTAACTCGTAAATGTCCGAAAAATATAAAGGTCAAGAAAAAGACATAAAAAAACCTCAAAAAATTCCCAAATCATACTTGTAACCTTAGAATATCGATAAAAATAAAATATCAAAATTTCACATTTTTTCATGACTGCTCGAAAAAATCAAAAAATTTAATTCGTAAATGTCCAAAAAATATAAAAATTCAAGAAAAAGATATACAAACACATTAAAAAACTCCTGAATCGCACCTGTCACCTTAGAAAATCGATACGAATAAAATATGAAAATTTCGCATTTTGTCGTGACTGCCCAAAAAATATCAAAAAATTTAATTCGAAAACGACCAAAACAGTATTAAGATCAAGAAAAAGATATAAAAACACCTCAAAATTTCTCTAATCACATCTGTCACCATAGAATATCGATACGAATAAAATATAAAAATTTCACAATTTTTCGTGGTTCTCCTAAATATATCAAAAAATTTAATTCGTAAGCATTCGAAAATATAAAAATCAAGAAAAAGACATAAAAACACCTCAAAAAATTCCCGAATCGCATTAGTCACCTTAGAATATTGATACGAATATCAAAATTTCGCAGTTTTCATGACAACCCTAAAAATATGAAAAATTTAATTAGTAAACGTCCGAAAAATATAAAAATAAAGAAAAAGTCATAAAAACACCTCAAAAAAATACTGAATCGCACCAGTCACCTTAGAATATCGATACGAATAAAATATCAAATTTTTACATTTTTTCATGACTTTCCGAAAAATATCAAAAAGTTTAATCTGTAAACGTCTGAAAAATATAAAGGTCAAGAAAAAGACATAAAAACACCTCGAAAAATTCCCAAATCGCACCACTAAACTTGGAATATCTATACGAATAGTATATCAAAAATTTCAAATTTTTTCGTGACTCCTCGAAAAATATAAAAATCAAGAAAAAGACGTAAAAATACCTCAATTTTATTTTGAATTGCACCTGTCACCTTAGAATATCAATACAAATAAAATATCAAAATTTCACATTTTTTGTGACTTCCCAAAAAATTTAATTCTTAAACATCCAAAAAATATAAAAATCAAGAAAAACATAATAAAACACCTCAAAAAAATTCCCGAATCGCACCAATCACCTAAGAATATCGATACGAATAAAATATAAAAATTTCACTTTTTTTGTGACTGTCCGTAAAATAATAAAAATTTTAATGGGTTAACGTCCGAAAATATAAAGCTCAAGAAAAAGACATAAAAACACCTCAAAAAATTCTCGAATTGCACCAGTCACCTTTGATTATCGATAACCATAAAATATCAAATTTTCACATTTTTCGTGACTAACATTTTTCGTTACAGCCCGAAAAATATCAAAAAATTTAATTCGTAAACGTCTGAAAAGTATAAAAATCAAGAAAGAGAAATAAAAATAACTAAAAAATTCCCGAATCGCACTAACCACCTTTGAATATCGATATTAATAAAATATCAAAATTTTACATTTTTTCGTGATTGTTCGAAAAATTTAAAAAATAATAATTTGTAAACGTATGAAAAATATAAAAATCATGAAAAAGACATAAAAACACCTCAAAAAATTCACGACTCGCACCAGCAACCTTAGAATATCAATACAAATAAAATTTCAAAATTTCACATTTTTTCTTTACTGCTCGAAAAATATAAAAATTAAGAAAAAGACATAAAAATACCTCAATATTTTTTTGAATCGCACCTGTCTCCTTAGAATATTGATACGAATAAAATATCAAAATTTCACAATTTTTGTGACTGTACGAAAAATATCAAAAATGTTAATTCGTAAACGTTTCATAAACATCCGAAAAATATAAAAATCAAGAAAAAGAAATAAAACCACCTCAAAAAATTCCTGTATTGCACAAGTCTCCTTAGAATATCGATACGAATAAAATATCAAAATTTCACATTTTTTCGGGTCTTTTTGAAAGAATATCAAAAATTTTAATTTGTAAATGTCCAAAAAATATAGAAATCAAGAAAAAGAAATAAAAACACTTCAAAAAATTTCCAAATCGCACAAGTCACCTAAGAATATTGATACGAATAAAATATCAAAATTTTATATTTTTTCGTGACTGCCTGAAAAATATCAAAAATTTAAATCCGAAAACGTCTGAAAAAATATACAAATCAAGAAAAATAAATAAAGACACCCCAAAATTTCACCGGTCATCTTAGAATATCGGTATGACTAAAATATCAAAATTTGACATTTTTCGTGACTTACCGAAAAATATCAAAAAGCTTGATTCGTAAAAAAAAATAAAAAAAATAAAAAAAAAATTCATGCCACCACCATAGCCGCCACCATAGCTGCCACCACTTTTGACCTAAAATTACCCCGTTCATGGCCTGTATGGCCACTGATCAGCCTATTTCTAAGGCTGATCAGGTTTCTTTGTTGAATGTAGATCTGTTTCCTCCTCTTATTCATACAAAAACACCCCACCTTAATGCAAAAGCCCCCGTTGTTCCATGTTTGCCTGGGGAACGTATTGGTTGGACTAATGAAAACATCTGCAAGGAATTCGGGACTGATAACTTCGCTAATATTCTCAAGGCTCCTAATCCTATATTGGTTCCGAAAAGTACAGTAGCTCCTATTCCATTGAAGAAAGTTGAATATCATAATGGAACTCCTAGAGTGTCTTGGATAGAAGATGAAGTTAATCGTATGAATGTCATAGAACTTCTCCAATTTGCAATAGTTGGAAAATTTTCAAATGGCTGGCCAGAATTGGAGGATCTTAGGAATGCTATACCTAGACAATGTGATATCAAAGGAGAATGCAAAATTGGATTACTTCGTAATCGACATGTACTGATTCGATGTGAGAGGCAAGAGGACTTCATCAACATTATGTCAAAAAGTGTCTATTACATTCAAGCTAAAGATGGATATTCATATCCTATGAGGCCTTTAATCTATGATGCAAAATTTAGAGTTGATGAGGAAACTACTCAGGCCATGGCATGGGTCTCTTTTCCAGACCTTAAACCTACTTTCTTTGTAAAAGAATCAATTTTTTCTTTGGCCTCTGCAATTGGTACACCTATACATCTAGATATGGCCACAATTAACAAGACTAGACCAAGTTGTGCTAGGGTCAAAGTGCAGGTGGACTTACTATTTGATTTTCCAAAGTTTGTGGAGGTTGAGGTAAGAAACGATGATACTAAGGAGTCCAGGGTAGAGAAGGTTAAGATACAATATGATATGCTTCCGAAATATTGTAAACATTGCAAGGTCCAAGGTCATGAAGAAGAAGAGTGTAGAGTCTTACATCCAGAATTGAGAAAGAACAACAATAAGGAGATAATTATTACTGATGCTGAAGAAATGCAGAAGGGCAAGCAACAATCAGAATGTATTATGGAGAATCAAAGGAGGAAAGGAGTTAGGAAGACATGGAATCCCACTAATAGGAGGTTTACCAAGGAAGCTAATGAAGTCTTGAATGATAAAGCAGTTACTCCTGTAAAGGGAATCAATTCCAATAATATATTTGCAACGTTAATAGATATAGAGGAAGGAGAAAGTGATGCACAAAAATTGGATAAGCATAAGAAGAAACTACCAGTAGAGCAAGACATGGCACCAGGAAGTATAGCAAAAATAGCCATAGAAAGCAATGCACATAACAAAACAAATAAGCATATCACATCTACAAAGGATTGGATTACACATGCTTTTGCTAATTACAAAGGGAAATGGAGCACTCAAAAAAATATTAATGAAAGGAGGGAGAGCACAGAAGAATCAGGGAAAGGGGAATTGAAGTTTCTGGAACCAATTTCATGTAATGTTGACCCTGCAAAACAAGACAATGAAATTAGTACTGGAGAATCAAAGCAGAATGAAGACATTGATGGGTATAAAAAAGACGTTGCAGATACACAAGAAGAAAATAATATAAATGTAACACATGGAGAAGATGAGCAAGGAAAGGAAATTACATTGTGGAAAGAGTCATCTGAAGCAATTCCTTTGCAGATAGCCAATGATGACATAGGGGAGGATAGATTTCTACATATTCATGTTGAAAGTCAACAAGATTTAACAAATAGAGATATAGGAAGAGCTATGGTGAATCCAGCAGTCACATCTGCGAAATCTCAACCCATGGAACAACTACATGCTTTAATTTCTCATCAAGACTTGAATGAATATGCAGAAAGACAAGATTCCAACAGTCATGATAATCTGGTAGAAGATAAAGAAGAGGAGGAATTTGGCAGTAGTGAGGTACAACCTTGTAAAGAGGATGAGCTTTCTCCACTGACAATCAACAAGAGCAGGAAAGGGAAGAGTAAAAATGATAAAGGTGATAAAGGGGAAATTTCCTCTAAACCAACGAGGGTACAGGCTCAAAGGGTGGCTAAATCCGTTAGTAAATGATACAAAAAGCTTTATTTTGGAATATAAGGTCTGTGAGAACTCATAATGCTTTTCATAGAGTTCAAATGCTTCATAGACACCATAAGTTCTTTTTGATTGCATTATTGGAACCTTTCCAAGATGTAAGACAAATTCAAAAGTATAAGAGGAGATTGGGGATGCAATATGTCAACTATAATGCCAATGGTCAAATTTGGATATTTATAAATGAACAAATTCAGGTTGGGGTTGTCTCTGATTCCGACCAGCAATTATCTCTTCAACTTACTATGGCAGATGGGAGGCAGTTTTTAGTTACTGTTATTTATGCTAAATGCAGTGCAGCTGAAAGATTGATGTTGTGGGATGACCTATATGCTCTGTATGATAACTACTCTATGCCTTGGTTGGTAGGAGGTGATTTTAATGTTATTTTGAGTGAGGAGGAGAAGATTGGAGGGCTTCCTGTATACCCTCAAGAATATGAGGATTTTTCTTTTTGCATAAATTCTTGTGAATTGGGAGATGTATCTTTTGTTGGGAGTCCGTTTACATGGTGGAATGGAAGGGCAGATTCAGAATGTATATTTAAGAGGTTGGATAGGGTTGTGGTCAATCAGTCTTTGCAAGAATTGATGGGAAGGGTGGATTTGCAGCATCTTGCTAGAACTGGATCGGATCATGCCCCTCTTTTGATGACTTGTAAAAGAGTTGCTTCTCAACTAATATCCAAACCTTTCAGATTTCTGAAATTTTGGACATTACGAGAAGATTTTATGGCTGTGGTAAGAGATAACTGGATTTCTGAAGGTACAGGTGACATTTTTGTTCAATTAAAACAAAAACAAAAGAGGACCAAACAAGCTCTATCTAAGTGGAGTAAGGAGAAATTTGGAGATATTTTCAAGCAGTTGGTGATTAGAGAAGAAATTGTGAGAATTAAAGAAGATCTCTTTGAACAAAATCCAAGTTCTGTTAATAGGATTGTTCTTCAAAAGGCACAAGCTGAGTTGAAAAAATATCTTCATTTTGAAGAAGAATTTTGGAGGCAGAAAGCTAGTATGGAGTGGTTTGCGGAGGGTGACAAAAATTCTAAGTTCTTTCATAGTATTGTCAAAGGGAGAAGGAAAAGAATGCATTTGAAAAGAATATTAAAAGCTGATGGTGGATGGGCAGAGGGTGAGGAGGAAATTGTTGGCGAGGCATTAAGGTTCTTTCAGGAACAATTCTCGGGGGCTGAAACTTCTCAGGACCTTTCTTTATTACACCATATTTCCCCTCAAATCTCTGAAGAGGAAAATACGGCAATTAAAGCCATTCCTAATGAGGATGAGATAAAAAAAAGTAGTGTTTCAGCTTAATAGTGACAGTGCAAGTGGCCCTGATGGCTTTACTGGTCATTTTTATCAGAAATGTTGGGACATTGTAGGAGGTGATATTGTTGGGGTAGTTAATGCCTTCTTTCGAGGGTCTACGCTGCCAAAGTCCATTACTCACACTAACTTGGTTTTATTGCCAAAGAAGGATATTATTCAATCCTGCTCAGACTTGAGACCTATTAGCCTGAGTAATTTTCTTAATAAGATCTTATCTAGAATTCTGCATAATAGATTGGAGAATGTTTTGCCTAGATTGATTTCACAAAATCAGTCTGGTTTTGTAAAAAGGAGGAGTATCACTGAAAATGTTCTTTTGGCTCAAGAAATAATCTCAGATATCAGAAAGAGAGGGAAGACTGCTAATGTAGTTATTAAGCTTGATATGGCTAAGGCTTATGATAGGGTGAACTGGAATTTTTTGACTAAGGTGCTGGATAGAATGGGATTTGATGGGGATGTTGTGGATCTAGTTTGGAGGATTGTGGCCAACAACTGGTATTCCATTCTTATCAATGGGCAGGTTCATGGGTTTTTTCACTCTACCAGAGGTGTTAAACAAGGAGATCCTTTGTCTCCGGCTCTATTCATCATTACTGCTGAAGTCCTGTCCAAAACCTTAAATAATTTGTTTGAAAACAATGAATTTAAGGGCTATGGGATGCCTAAATGGAGTGACAAGATAAATCATCTGGCTTATGCAGACGACACAATAATATTTGCTAAAGCTGATCAGAAATCACTACAATTGATTATGGAGGCCTTATCTAACTATGAAAATCAATCAGGACAGAAGATTAATAAAGAGAAGAGTTTCTTTTATATGTTCCACAAGGCTGCTTTGTCTGAAGTGCAACTGGTAGAAAATAGTACTAGTTTTAGCAGAGGAAAATTTCCGTTGATATATCTGGGATGTCCTATTGGCCATACAAAGAAAAGGAAAGTGCATTTTGTTGATTTGATTAAAAAGATTCAGAATAAGCTTCATGTGTGGAAAGGAAAGGTGTTATCAATCATTTGGGGGGAAATCAGTGTTGATTAATCATATGTTACAAAGTTTGCCTATCTATATGTTATCTGCTATTGTCCCTCCTAAGTGTGTATTATATGATATTCATAGGATTTTTGCTAAATTCCTATGGAATTTTAAAGAAGAAAGGAGGGCAAAACACTGGATAGCATGGCCTGATATATGTTTACCAAAAGAAGAAGGAGGGTTGGGTTTTAGGTCTTTGTTTGATGTGTCGAGAGCACTTTTTGCAAAATTATGGTGGAATTTTAGAACCACAAATTCTTTGTGGTCCAATTTCATGTGGAATAAATATTGTAAAAGGCATAGACCACAAGTGGTGGAATGGAGAGGTGGTTCACAGGTGTGGAAGTATATGCTACAAGCAAGGGATGATATGGATCAAGAGATCTGGTGGGAAGTTAGAAATGGTCATTCTAGCATATGGTATGACAATTGGACACAATTAGGTTCTCTGAACTACTGGTTACCTATATCTCATAGCATCGATGAGAACTTTGAAGAGGTTATACAGTTTAAAGAGGATGATGGTTGGAACTATACTTTGATAGAGAATATGTGCACTGAACAGGTTAGCCAGCAAGTTCATAATGTTCTTAAAAATGTTCAGTGGTCAGAAGAAAGGGACAAACCTTGGTGGATGCCTAATCAAAATGGTAAATTTTCTGTTAAGAGTGCATGGGAGATCTTCAGACAAAGAAAAGAGAAGAAAGAGAATATTATGTGCATTTGGGAAAAAGGAATTCCTTTTAGGATATCTTTTTTACTGTGGAGAATTTGGTTTCAAAGGATACCAATTGGAGAGGTGCTGGTAAAGATAAAAGTCACTGACTCTTTCATTTGTTGTAGTTGTAATGATAATTGTCAGGAAACTTTTCAACATTTGTTTATGCAATGTCCTATTTCTAAGGATCTGTGGAGTTTATTTGCTGGAGCTGCTGGCGTACAAGGTCCATTTGTTCAAATCAAACAAACATTGGATAAATGGTGGAAAAGTGATTGTGTTACTAAGCTTAAACCTTTGTTTAGAGCTGTCCCAATCTTTATTATTTGGCAAATATGGAAAAGAAGAAATATCATTAGTCATGGAGGAAGGATGTCCAAGAATGCTATGATAATGGAGATTAACAGAAATATATATTTATTGGCTTCTTACAGATATGGTTTCAACAGCTGCCAGGTAATTGGCCAATGTTGGTAAAGGTTTTGGAGGACTATAAACCTCTAATTTCCAGTAAGGTAGTTACATGGGAGTGTCCTAGTGAAGGAAAGTTTAAATGTAACTCAGATGGGACATTCAAACATATGTTAGGTGTTAGCTCTATTGCTTTTTGTATCCGGAATCACTATGGGGACTTCATCTTTGCAGAGACAAGGAAGGTAGAGTTAAGCTCGGCACTAGAGGCAGAAGTGAGAGCCTTGGGAGTAGGTTTGATTTATTGCATCAATCACAATATTTTTCCGTTGATTTTGGAAACTGATTCCCTTGTCACTAAGAAAGTGTTAGATGGAGTGTGGGAAGTTCCTTGGTCGATTTCAGTAGAAGTCAGGGGTATTAAGAGCATGGTAGAGACTTACAATGTGGAGATTAAACACATATTCAGGGAAGGGAACAAGCTTGCAGATTTTTTAGCTAACAATGTTGTTAATTTTGCAGGTACAAATAGAATTTTTAATAGTTTGCAAGAATTACCACAACAGGCAATGGCTATTGTTCAGCTAGAGAAGAGCAAAGTTCCTAATCTCAGAATACAAAAATATCAAAATCACAGAGTTCACAACATGAATGGAGGCTAGCTATGAGGCATAAGTCAATATATAGTTAACAGTGAAATATCAAATTCATCGAAGCTTGAAATATCAGATTCTAAATTCATCGAAGCTTGAAATATCAGATTCTAAATTCATCGAAGCTTGAAATATCAGATTCTAAATTCATCGAAGCTTGAAATATCAGATTCTAAATTCATCGAAGCTTGAAATATCAGATTCTAAATTCATCGAAGCTTGAAATATCAGATTCTAAATTCATCGAAGCTTGAAATATCAGATTCTAAATTCATCGAAGCTTGAAATATCAGATTCTAAATTCATCGAAGCTTGAAATATCAGATTCTAAATTCATCGAAGCTTGAAATATCAGATTCTAAATTCAT